TCTCACGTGCACTCTCGAGCGCATCGTGCACGTAAGCCGTCTGCGGGTTCTGGTACACGTCGTGGTAGCCGTAGTTGGAAGTCCTGCGGTCATCCCGATACTCCTGCCTGCTGCCGCGCTTGCCGCCACCTTTGCCTCCGCCGCCATGCGGCGGCTTGCTGCGCCAGACCGTGGACGTGGAAGTGCGGTATCCAGACCAGTGATCACGCGAGCTATCGAGAAGACGCGGCTGCGGTAAGGAGGGGGGAGAGGAAGGTTTCAAGCGTTCCGTGGAGCACCCCCCTGCTCGAGTCCCCCAACAAGCAAATCTCTTCGAAAGCACCAGATTTCTTAACAAGGAGTCTCCCCAGTTTTCGGGCAATGAGATATAGGGCGACGTGTGCCGGCGCGGGATTGCACAAAGGCCTCTCCCCACCACGCGTGCAGGCCAGCCCAATGCCAAGATTTCGACCAACAAGTCACAAGTCGCCTCCGACGCTCGTTCCGGGACTCCCTGGGAAAGAAAATTGCATGTAATGATCCGCTCCCATAGGCGAATGTGTAGGAACCGCGGCGGCAGACACTCACGAGCGGACAAGTATTCTGGGAATTTTGCATGCTTGGGTCTGGGCCTAAGCCCACGAGCAAATTCAAAATTTGGGGGGGGTGCGTGGCAAACAACGTTCTCCCCCTGCTCCACAAGCATGCACTGAAGATATTGCATGGGCAGGGAATCCACCTCCATGGCGAGTCCAACGTCTGGCGGAAAGACATTCTGCAAAGAGCGGAAGAGACAAGCAGAACAGAGCATACGCGAGAAACAGCAGCTGTCGTCGACATACAATACTCCTTGCACCACCTGGTCAGCGTTGCACCCCCGATGGGCCAGACCAGCCTTGCGGGCACCATCGGGGTTCTGATACAACTCACAAATGCAATTCCCAAGATCCGCCAGAGTCGCGGGTTCTGACATGGGTCCTCCCATTGACCATCCCTTGCACCGACGGAACACAGACTCTCCCACGAGGAAGTGCTTTTCTTGCCCCACATACTGAAGGGCCCGACGTATGTCTCTGAATGACACAATATCATGCTGAGCTGGGCATTTGCCCCCTGGCCTGACCAGCTTCCCCGACGCCTTTTTCCCTCTCTTAACTGCCACCCCCGTGGCCCCCAGGCTGGAAGTGAGGCGGGAGAGGAGGTCGAGGGCGCAGGAGGCGCCTCTGCGCTGTGAGGCGTCTTTAAGGAATTGCGAAGCGTCTGCCTTGACAACTGTGAGGGCGCGCTTAGGCTTAGAACACCTGCAGCATGCGTGCACGCATTGCGGATGAGCATGTAGCTTACGAACCTTACCGTCCAAAATCGTCGGCAGGCCGTTGGGCGACCAGATTGTCCACATCGGGTCGCCAGAAACTTTCTTCGCAATGCGCAAAGCTCTGGCAGCTTTCGAAAGGAAATGGCGTTGGGTGGCTCTGTGGTTGCTGACGATCCCCCGTACATGGGCGTGCTGCTTAGCGCAGACCAGCGCGCCAGACTCTGGGCCCAGGCATTTGCCTCTAACTGCGAGGTAGGCCCGGGGCAGGTCATCGATCGAAGCTGCACGAGAACTCCTCCATTTCTTCGGAACCAAATGTTTGTCGCGTCTTCTCTGGGCGCGCACGAGCATCTTAGCGCTGAGCGATGGCATGTGCTTGTAGTGTTCAGGGTCTTCTGTGAAGTACGTGCCGAGTTGCCAAATATAGCTGTACCACGGGACCCCAACGCGTCGGTGTGGGTCCTCGCCCACTCCAATCCACAAGACATTCGGAAGCCCTTCCAAGTACGCCCTCCTGACTGCGTTGAGGGGGATATCGGCGTCTTCGACTCCCTGGGACAGAAGAGGCAGGAGGAGGAGGTCAAACGAAGCCCGAAGACGGGAGAGATTGGGGAAACGATGGACAAACTGGTAATACGCAAAATGCGCGCGAAATTGATGATGCAAGTGCTCCCACATGTCATGTGTCCTCGGGGCTTCGGGCACGCTCCAGTACATATTTGACCAAACAACATCATTAGACACGAGGCTAGCATATGGCTCATTGTCTCGAATGTGTTCAAACACTTGCGCGCTAAAGCAACGTGCAGCAGCGTACTGGTGCGTGAGTATGTCACAGAACGTTGTGCTACGGGCACTGTGTACTCTGGATTTGGCCAAAAGGAAACTGCATAGGAGATGGCATTCGTTGCATGCTCTCCACAGGCATTCTCTGCTGAGCGCCCGCACTCTTTGTAGCACAGCTGGGCTGTCGCTCGGTACTGAAATTCGGCACGCGCGGCTGAGCAGCAGGTTCCCTGACGAAAGGAATCGTTCGATTTTTTGTCTCGCAACGCACCTTCGGGAGGCCGACAATGAGCCAGCACAACGCCAGAGGGATAAACAATATGGAACAAGACGCACGTGTCTCCATACAGGCGGGTTATTGCGCACAGGACGCGCGGCAGGACACAAGACTCTTCCGACGGCAACATGGCCTCCAAAACCACAGGACACAAAGGTACCCTGCCGAGGCCGCGACCGCGGTTACCCGCGGCCGACCCACAACCCCGCGACGGGCGGCGCACGCCAGACAGGACGCCAAGGGTATCCGACAGGCCGCGCCGCTCGCCACGTGAGAAATCTCGCGTGGCGTGTCGCACGCGCCTACCCACCTTCGGGGGCGATCGCGCGACCTGTCGCCATGGCAGAGGGCGAGAGAACCAGGGCGCGGCCGCGGACGTCGCAAACGAGAGGACGCGCAGACCACCCTCCCGCAGGAGAGCGACCTGTCGCCAGGGGACAGGACCAGAGGACCTGGGCGCGGCCACGGACGTCGCAATCGAGAGGGCGCGGAGAGCACCCTCCCGCGGCAGAGCGACCTGTCGCCATGGCGGAGGACGAGAGAACCAGGGCGCGGCCGCGGACGTCGAAAACGAGAGGGCGGGGATACCACCTCCCGCGGCAAAGCGACCTGTCACCGCGGCGCCAGCGGCGCGGCACTGAAACCATGATCATACCTTGAAGCCACATGAGCCCCCAATCCGAGAGGACGCCAGGGTACCCTAGACAGGGGCCGCGACCTCCCGCCGGCGCGACGCGCTCAGACCGCCGCGGGCCAAGCCACCGACACCCGCGGAAACCACAGGACGCAAGGGTACCCTGCCCTTCGGCCGCAGAGGACACGACGCGCGATGCACAGGACACAAGAGCACCCTTGATTTCACAGGGCCGACCTACTATTGGAACCCGACTGTAGACGCTTGTAGTCCAATCTCTTACCATGCTCTGACGCATAAAGCGTGAGCCACGCCTCATACCCCCTGCAATACATGAGAGTCCGGACTCTGTATGCTGAGATCCGGTATGCATTCCAACACCATGACAACAGTGTATCAAATGTGCAGGCGCGTGCAAGGAACCGTGCTCGAAGCCGAGGGTTATGCTGGATACCAGCCACAAGATTGAGGCTGTATTCTCTAGCCCTGGACGGTTTTTCATGGAACCTAGGCAAGGCGCGCACGCGGTCACAATGTTGCAAGCATGTGCCTTCAGGCATTGGCTGGGTGGGAGGGTGGAGGATCTCAATGCACAACGCTTCAAACTGTAGGACGTGCTGGGTACTACCGAAAGTGATTGGGAGGGAAACCAAAGACCACCAAGCACATGCACCCCACCGCTTATAGCGGGGCCTGTGAAGCTGGTTCCCTTTGTTCCTGTAAGAAGCGTCGAAATGTTCGCGGAAACGTGCAACTGCACCGCACCATACCTTTTTATTGCACGTTCGGCGGAAAATCGCTTTTCCAATGTACCAAGTGCCGCATTCTGTGGCCAGCGCAACGTACACCAAGCTCTTGCCCTCCGGAATCGTTTCGGGTTTCCACAGGGCTTCGTGCAGCTCGTGTAAGTAGCTGTGCCAAAATGTGCATGTGAAGTCTCCTTCCAGGAGTGTGGCCTGGAGGCATGGTTTAGCTGCACGCAAGAAGCAACGTATGTAGTGCTTGCGCTCATGATTGTGTGCGCAAAATGCAAGGGTCTGTATGCAACCGAGGGCATAGAACAGAGTCCAAACCTCGAAGTTCGATCTCCCCCTGAGGAGCCATAGTCCAAGGGTGCATCGAATATTCTGGACCTCCGCATAGTAGCGCCGCTGGGCTGGGAACCCACGTAAGGCCCAGCAGAAGTATTTACGTGACACATGTTGCGCGCACCGTGCTCGATCATTGGAGCTGTGTTTGCATGCGTATTGTGCTGAGTGGGAGAGGAGTTGTAATGGGGTAAGGAGCTGTACTTGTCTTTTCCAGTGTACGGAATCCAACCAAGGGAGTACTCTGGACACGCGAGCTCGCCCGGCGTCCATATCTGGGGACGCGAGCGCGGAAAACGATTGTGCAGACGAAAGTATGAAGCTATTGTTATCCAACCTTGCCCAAAACTGGGAGTCCAAGGATGTGCCGCTTCTGGTTGAGCTATTCTACTGAAGAGAATATAAGCGAGCAGAGGGAGCATAAGGAGAGGGGGTCCACGTGACGCTGTACTCCCTTCCCGGTCCCCTCCCTACCCAACGCTTTTCTCGGAGTAGCTGCTGGGATCCGCCTTGGAACGGACAGGACGGGAATCTGACGAACCGTCCTGGGGCGCTTAGCTCCTCGCGCTTCCAGCCTAGAAGGCAAGAGCATGTGCAAGTACGATACAAGCACCTTCTCCTCCTTCTCCACATCCTCCTCCTCCTCCTCCGCCTCCTCCTCCTCCTCCTCCCCCTCCTCCTCCTCCTCCTCCTGCTCCTCCTCCTCCTCCTCCTCTTCCTCCTCCTCCTCCTCCTCCTCCTCCTAACCCCACTCCTCGATGGCAAGGCCTCCGCCAGACTCCTGCACTACAGGCAGGGCTCGACCAAAACAGTTTTGTTTTGCTTTCGTTGCGGGTTCGTGTTCCCTCGTTTTTGTCTTGAATCCGCCTCTGCTGCAAAACAAAATCGAAGCGAAGACGGCCCCCGAGATCGCCATGACATCGCGCATGTCGATCCCTGCCTCGGGTTTTTTTTTCTCGCTTTCCCGGGTAACGGTCGTTACTGGGACGGGGGGGGTGGTCGGGCGGGAGGGTAATGATAACGGCGGCCGCGGAATGCACCCGCCAATGTGCGTCCGCGCCACCGGCACAATGCCCCCCCGTGGCCACCCAGCATGTATGTATGGGGGGGTCCAGGCCAACCCACCCCCCGCAGTACGATCGTTACAAT